GAAGGAGTAGAATTTATACTTCAAATGCACCACAGATCTGGGGTATAAAGATCCCCAAGATTTTTTGGAACTTATTTGATCAGTTAAAATGTATAATAAAATATTCGAAGAGTATGGTACGATATACAATGATGGCAGTTTAATGGAACCTTTTAACTTTACTCGAGACTTTTTTCTGTACTGTATTGTCTGCCAAATGCAATATATGGTTTATTCGGTAACGTTGTCGTCGTTCCAGTTGTAGACATGAACAATGCGCTACCAGTATTCATGGTCCGATTGCTCGTGTAGTTGACAATTATAATTCTAGATTTTGACTCGCATACATGATTGTGGTGCCGCAACTTGCAGACACTGCTTTCACTGGACGGCGATTGTAATGATGCATGTCATAGTTGATCTATTTCACATCTGTCAGCCTTCCATAGTGTTGCCCAGCATGTTTTTATCTTAGTTTCATTATTGGAGATTCTGTTGTTAGTAGTATTCAAAAACTGTATCAAATTGGTTATCATAACATTTTATAGTAGCAATTTTAAACTACTATCTTTAATAAAAATGATTTGTGGTTCCAGCACATTCTGAGCCATTCATCAGGAAATTCATACGATAAACAAAAATGCTCATTAGAGAAGTATCCCACATGTTATAAATTCCTTTTCCATGCTAGTGCAGATGCATCACCGAGAGTACGAGAATTATAAAGCTTTCGACCAGTAAAAACGATGCCAGCAACAGCAAATACAGCGCCGATACCAAGAAAGGATCCTCCCACAATGTAATTAGTACTTCCAAACCACCCAACTTCTTCAAGCACGAGTGCCTTTGAGCCGCCAAAGGATCCTACAAAAAAATTCGATTGTACTGCAAATGTGAGCATTGTACCAGCTGGAAGATCGCGCTCAATACGTCCATACGGCTTGCGAAATGGACGCGAGGCGGCACCCTCGACCCATACGCGCCAAAATTCATTCTCAAGGCCAACACCGACACCAAAGTCTGGGTCCAGAGCGTCATGAACCCAAGCAGTACTATTTGTATAATTTGGAGTGATATGTGGAGCTGTTTCTCCTATCAGTGGCGGAATAATGCGACTCATGTTTGGATTCAACCACACAGGGAGAAAAATATCAGAAGACACATTCCATGTTGGATTTTTGTTGTTATGTGCCGCATAAGAACGAGTGATGCCTTTTGATGTCATATCAGTTAACGAGAGTTTTTCACCAGACGGTAATAGCCCGTCGTGCAGCCAGAAAATGTCATTAAATAGGGTATTTGCAACGATACCGCAAGGAAAAAGTTCTCGTTGTCTGGCGGACGAAGCAGGTTCGCACAAACCAACAGTACACAATTCCGATGTAATTGTTTTCAACGGATAACATTCGAGCGTAGAAGTAGCAGTTTCTGGACGCCACTCATCTGTGAATTGCGTGCGAATAACTGAAGAGACGAAGCGACGGTGATTTTGGTAGTACCCATCCAGCTCGTAGAAAATACGCACGGGACTTTTAAGATCATTTGGAAGTTTTAAGTGCACGTAGCATGTGTGATCGGCATGAAACGAATTAGCGTCATCTAAAGACTCAAGATGGCAATTCGTGTGCTTGGTTAGATTACCATCTGTTTGTATCGCTTGAGCCTCTTCAACACCGTCGTAAACAACACGCAAAGTTGTAAGTGCACTGGACGTGATGACAATAACTGTTCCAAGGCCAATGCACAGCACTGCTAGCGTAAAGCAAATTCCAACTGACAACCCAAGCGTGAGTACTGGCTCCCATATATGCATTTGCTGTTGAGTCAGTCGCGAGCTGTCTGGACGGTTAAGCTTGGCATTCGTGTCTAGTTTGGGCGCAGTTTTGCTGGTTTTATTCGTACTAGCGCGTCGTCGTCTTGACTTGGAATTTGCACGTAATGGCATCTCGACATCGTGAGGAAGTGGCATCACCAACGTCTGCACACTGACATCACTTGGCCGGACAAGAGGTTTGACCGCCATGTTGCTCCAGAGACTTATCAGCGTTCTTCAAACTGATGCCATCAAGACCGTAACCCCTAGTCGAGTACTCAAATAGATTATACGGTCTGGCAAGTAGACTATTCCACTTAGCAAATTGTATTTATAGCGAGGAATGAAAATAACTACTAACTAATAGTGGAATCAAACAAAGGTTTATCTAACGTAAGACTTGTTGATGCCTCAATTCTCATTGTCCTCAGCTACAAATTTGCCGCGCTTGGCCATGTAGTCATGAAATGCCATGGAGCTCAGTAGAAGCACTACGACGGCTCCTTGGCCATAGATTCGTGTGTGCATGATCTGCTGCGATGCTGAGATGCCCTTGTTCAAAAGCTGATAACCATATATGCCACCTACTATTGGTATACCCACACCAATTAAGGTGCGATAAGGGTGGTCATATAAAAAGTTGGCACTCTTCTGCCAAAGCTTCAGCTGTGACTTGTCTTCAGTAGGGGCTATGTACGAGCTATCAATTGAAGCCAAATACAAGTCCGGATTGCGTGCACCTTGCATTAAGCGAGTCTCGGCCACAAGTGTAAAAGCAGCTAAGAAGGGCGATACAATCAACGCCGTCTTGCCGCTTACGTTCAGGCGGTTACGGAAGGCTGGCCAGTACTTGTTTGCCGAGAACACAGCAGCCGCAGCGAACACGGAAGTCACGGCACCAGCTTTCAGGCCGCTGATGTAGGCATGACGTGAGATCGCATCACGAACTTGATGTTTATTCTTCATCTCCCATGTTGAGTGCTCGGTGTCAGTTTCGAGCGCACTCATGCTTGGTTTGCAAGCTTCGAATATGATGCTCGCTGCATTTTTTTGGGACGCGAAAAAGTGAGAAAAAGGTTACTGCCTTCGTAATCTGAAGCCAATAAGTTGACCAATCGAAAAGTTTTGCAATACTTTTTTATACACGCAGAAATTTATAAACAAAGACGAAATTAGATGTCGAAGTTTATCTCTAAAGGTACGGGACAGTAACTGGCATGAAGACGAGGCGAAAAGAAAAAAAGGCGAAGAGATCCAGCACTAGCATTTGGTGCGAACGATTAGCTCTCCAACACCAGCTAACAAACGAGTATTTGTTATGATTCGACCGACGCCGGTTCTAATGTTAATTTTCAACGCCTGAAGCGATTTTTTATCGCAAGAAACGATCGACTGGACTAGACGATGAAGTAGAGACCTGACATCATCTATTTGAGATCCAAAGCACATTCTCTAGCTACTCAATCTCATCTCTAACTAAAGCGATAACTTATCAAAAGACTTCAAATTTCTGCCGCAGAACTCGACGATCGCGCAGCTTCTCTTTTCATCGCCTTCATTCATACCTGTGATTTTGTAGGGAAAGCAAACAGCAATCTTGTAACGAGGTTTCACGTAGGCGGCTCGCACAAGATTATGCGAGGTGTGTATTGCACAGTTAGTGTAATCACACAGTGGTGTGGCTGCAGCGTGCCAGTAGTAATGCATATTACTATAGTGATTAGGTTCTGCTATATCAATTATGATCTATAGGAAAAACTAGGGTTTTAAATATTGGCGGCTCTGACGCAAATAAATAAAGTTTCTTTTTGAACAAAAGTGTTCGTTTGTCTTGGTAAGACTTTAGTACGTAGAAGTAGCGGATTGCGATCCGTTGAACTTGTACTGGTTTTTTGAAAGAACGTAGGTCGGTGACCTTAGCTTGGCCTAGCTTCCTCTGAGCAAAGAGCTACGGCAGCTCCGCTGCACTTGGAATAGTCGCTGCATGCCAAGAGTGGCATGGTCGGCCAAGGGCCGAGGTATCCTGAGCAAGGATCTTCTGATGCGCATGGAGTGGCACGTTATCCACTGGACGAAGGCTGCGGAAATAGCAGCTCTTTGTCGGATTCTGTTAATAACATCAAAACTCCAATGGAGCAGGGAGTGGGACACTGGACGACGCCGAGGGCGTGTTTCCAATAGTCTCGATGAGACGGAAAACCAGGAGACGGCGAAACCGTATGGTATCTGTTAGACGCAGGGCGTCGACCCTGACCCGGGGTGTGTCTACCGTAGACGATAGCGCACAGCTATATACCCTTGTCAACAATATGACGGGAGAAAAGGACGGCGACGTCACCCTCGAGGCTATTCCTGCTGTTAAATACTGTTCTTGAGCTGGACAAGATGCCCTCAAAAAGTTTGGCGGCGTCTTCACTTCAGGCAATTTAGCCGAGGTGGTCATTAAAAGACAGAACGAGGAGATTAAGCCGTCGTCGCTTCCGTTTGAAGCTGTCCCGGAGGACACTAACAGAGTGCTGAACACACGAAGTGGATCGTCGATCCTGAAGGATCCTTCGGATCCGTACCATTCTTTTGTCAATAAAATTTATGAAGTCGTCTCCAAAGACCCGCCGTCAGTCATATCTCCGGTCCGAGGTGTGCGTCATGAGATCGACCTGGTTCGGGGATCCAAATACTGTGTGACACATCAATAGCCCATACCTAAGGAGCAATGCGACGTCATTGACGCCTTTTTTCCGCGCGAAGCACGATGCAGGAATAGTGCGCGAAAGCAAGTCCCCCCATTTGACACCCACGTTTTCGGGGCCATAAGCTGAACGGCAAGTGACATATCGTTTACGCTTACAAGAAGCCCAACGCTGCCACCATTCCGGCACAGACGCCATTTCCAAAGTAGGATAATCTCCGGAACAACATGGTTGGAGGCCAAAGTACAGTGCACTAGACTTGATAGATGGGTTTTACCAATTGCTCATGAAAGCGAGTGATATTCCGCTGGTAGCAGTGAGTACTTCGAGCGGAATGCTCTGGAAATGGCTGGTAATGCCCCAAGGGCCGTCAAATGCACCAGCAACATTTAATCGTCTTGTGATGCAGTTGTTCAGGTCCCGCCGGGCGTATACACAGACATACTTCGGCGACATCTTCGTCAATTAATTGAGAGCGGTGCTTGAGTGCATGCGCAAATTTTGCGGAAATGGCACGACCATTGTTGAATTCCTTTAAAAAGGATGCGGAATGGTGCTGGGACACAAGCATTGGGAGGCTTTTGACAGGGTCAAAGACAGCCTCATTCATGCACCAATACTGGCGTTGACAGACCCCGATCGTCCATTTAGTGTTGTCTGTGCCGCTTCGGACTTTGCCATCGGCTGTAAAAGGCTGCAGACAGACGCCGAGGGGCGAGATCGGGTGATCGCGTTCGAATCTCGCCAGCCCAAGGCTGTGGAGGGAAACCACCCAGTCGACGACAAGGAATTACCTGTGATGAGCTTTGCACTTTTCAGGTTCACGGTGCACCTGTTCGACTTGAAGCCGTTTGTGATCTACACACATCATGCGTCACAACGCACTGCGACTCAGTCACCTCACCTCTCGCAGAGGATGGCCAGGTGGCTAGCATTCTTTGAAGAATAAAATTTTGAGGTGAAAGATAAGCCAGGAAAGCAGAATGCTTTGGCGGATGCGTTGTCATGCAGACCAGATTATGAGCTTGCTATGGTGATGACGGTGACGACGTCTATGACGATTTTGATCCGCGCCACATACGCGGGGAATGATATGTGCGCAGCGCTGCTACGGGCTCTCCGAAGCAAGAAGTTCTAACACTCGGACAAGATTTACCAGCAGGACTGCGCGCACGGTTGCACCGTTATTCGTTGAATAACGAATTGCTGTATTTTAGCAGATACGCCACAAATTGTGGTTCCTCCCAATGAGGTTTTGAAGTGATGTATCCTCTATGAGGCCTACGACACCCCACTCAGTGGTCTTCTCGGTTGTGTAGAGCTCTGTAAGTTGCCACTACTGGTGGCACAAGCTGTACAAATGGACGAGCACATATGTGCGCACGTGTGAGACCTGTCAAAGGGTAAAATCTTCTCCAAATGCGATGGCACCGCTGGCCGGTTTTTTTGACAGGTAATCTCCGGGTGTTGATAGTCCATGAGAATTGACTTTGTGTTTGGCCTGCCAAAGGACATGGCAGGCAACACGGGTGTAGTGGTCCATGTGGACCATTTGAGCAAGATAGCTCGTCTTGCGACCGTGTCGGACACCATCGACGGTGTGGGTTCAGCGACGCTGTTTGTCGATCGTGTCTTTCGACAGAATGGACACCCGGGGTCTATTCTCTCTGATAAAGTCCCGCGCTTCATTGGGAAGTTTTGATCTACAATCTTCAGGGTGCTGGGCACCAAGTTGACTATGTCAACGTCAACAGCGGATCATCCGCAGACCGATGGTCAGACTAAGCGCGTGAATCGCGTCGTCGAAGACGTTATTCGCAGCGTCTGCGCAGAGACGCCGAAGTGCTAGATCGCCATGCTGCCACTCGTAGAGTTTACTCTGAACAATACAGTTTATTCATCTACCAGCTACACGCCGTTCTACGTGAACGGGCTTGTAAATTCTCGCGTCGCACTGACGTCGCCATCCCATGGCTCAGGTGTTGGTGGAGGAGAATTATCCGAGCGGCTAGCTGACGTCAGCCCCTCACTGTCCGTAAAAAGTCGGAGGCTATCTGTCTACCAGATTGAGTCTCCTACGAATCGTTCGCGTTGCGATGAATGAAAGCCAAGACATGCAGAAAGAATACGCAGACGGAATAAGCAGAACAAATGTTTGAAACTATGAGGTCGAAGACTTGGTTTTATTAAGCGCTAGAATATTTTCGCACATGCAGTTTCTGCTGTCTTTCAGTCAAAGAATAGTCCACGTTTTTTGAGATTTTAACGTCGTGGCCAAGCGAGGCCTTGTGTATACGCTAAAAAACGAGAAGGATGCGCACCTACCCGGTTTTATGAGGACTTGCTTAAGCCGTACCGGGATCCGGCTTTGGTTAGACACAATACTGTATAATTATACGAAGGTATAATCTGTTGGCGCAATTTTTGGCGTGGGCTCAAGTGTGCTTGGGCCACCAATATGAAGCTCACCGAGAAGTATATTTTTTTTATGTGATGGGCGCGCATCGGGGTATTACGTGTTACTTCAAATGTTCTGGATGTGGAATACATTTATAAAACACGATCACGTGTTAAGTGCCGAATGATTTAGTGCTGGGATAGCGCCTTGGTAAACCGCGCCAAACTTTTTCTCATTTTACTCCATGAGTCTACTGACATCATCGAAAGACTTCTTTAACGACAATACAACACTTCAGAATCTACATTCTGTCTTTCTTTCCTCTCTAGACTTTATCTAAGCTTTAAGCCCTCGACCAACACCGATAAATACGTTGAGAATACAATCTTCGATGCAGGTGGCGATTCACGCGCTTTGATAAATCGACATCTGGGTTCTCAAACTCTTCGCTTCCCAAAGTTCTAAATAACGCAATAGGTCTTACGTCTGACACGTATCCTGTACGTATCGCCTCATAAATTTACCTTATTCACTTTACCGTCGTGACATGCGAAATTTCATAGTTGGGGTAGCGCAATAACGTATACGCCATCAAAAAGCCGATCCGGCTCGAACGTATACTCGGTAAAGAAGGGTTACCATCATACTACTCTTTGTGTGTGATATGGCGACTTTGTTGCTGTGCGCAACGGCGCACGATCTATATGCATTACAGCCAACTTGAAGCCAAGTAGATGCACGCTGAGCTTGACCGGATCAAGCTTCATCTATATACGCTTGGTTTTCTGTGCTAAATTAGGCTGGCAATAAGTAGACGCGGTCTTGCTCTCATGCTCATTGACATCATTTAAGAGCAATTACAGACTAGTCCATGACGGACGACGAGCTCAGTCCCTAATCCGACATTTAACTGTACCAATTCGGTGAGCTTACCGCCTTGCAATTTCTTCCGCATTTTTAGAGGTATAACTTCTCCGGCATAAATACGCATCGGTGGGGGATACGTAAGCAACCCCAGTCACTCTACCCACGACTGAATAATGTTTGCACAGCATTCCCATGAGTATTCACCGGTTCGCACGGTGCGCCCATCACGCAATTCTAATGACTTAGCTGTACCGTCGCATTGTGAAAGGATGGACCATCCTTAATAATCCCAAGTCCTGTTCCTTTACCTAGCGTCTTACAGTCGCCTGTCTCCCTTAAGATGGCACCAAGCTGCTATGATCCGTCTCCACAGATGATTAGAACCAGCACATTTTTATACCCAATCGATATTACCTTTCCCACCATAAAAAACCGGTGTCGTTGTGCTAACGGCCAGCATTATGGGCTCGATTTTTACATATCTTGAATAAATTATCTCAAATTATCGCGAGTCCCGTTGTCCTAGGCCTCCCAGTGCCTACAATGACTCAATGTGGGCTCATCGGTCAGCACCTTTTGGAAGATCGACCATTCAAACCTCTCAATCAAAAGAGTGAGGCTTCTAGGGTGCATAAGTTTAAAACTGCACCGGATATATATCTGTAAGTACCTACATTCTCCCCATCAAAATGGTGAATACCCACAATTCACATTTAACTGTCGCCTCATACGAGGCTCGCGTATCTGAGACTCCGTTACATTCTCAAGAAGATCACTCGAACATTCTCCGCTCAATGAACCCTGTGTCAATGACACAAAAAAACAGCCTAGCTGGCTCCGAGGGCGCCCGCGAGATAAGCCTTTTTTTTGCACGGGGTGCATCTCCGGACAATACGTCCGCGGTTTCATTGGAAACGCATCCCGAGTCCTCGGCAACCAAGCGCCTCATATCGCGCCCGCCCCGGGAGGAAGTCGAATACAAGTCGGATATTTCTTTCTTCAAAAGACGAGGAGGGTGAGGCGCGCCAATGGCTCGACGTGAGCCCAGCTCGAACGTTGCGGACACCGTGTCCGATCCCCGATCTTTCGCCTTCTGGGGAAGTTGTATTGTTACCAATCGCCTCGATGAGACAAAGGATCTGCAATTCGAGGCTGCCCACAGGGCGGCTCTCATGCGCTTGTATCTACGTTCGGTCCTAGACCCTCGTGTGGAATACGGCTTCCGCTCGGCGGATCCCGCTACAGAAGCGAAAAGCGCGGTCACTCGATTGTTAGGCGTCTACGTAGTCGGACCCCCGGCCACGTCACACGCTGAGCTTGACCAGAGGAAAGCTCTTCGAGATCGTTTTTTGTACCACAAGTAATTCCAATGGATCGTTACCGCGCTCGACTTCGAGTTCAAAGAAAGGCGCTCCTATACCCGCAATGCGGACCATTCTTGTGGTACTCGCCCCTGGCGAAATTGCTGCAGATGATGAGGAGCTTTGAGCGATGGCTGCAGCGGAATCAAAAACGTTCCTCGCTGTCTCACATACAGGGGAGCCACAAGGAAGTGGCTGTGCTCGTAGAGCGCCATCTTCAAATCGAGTTTGCCAAACTCAAGTCGCAACGCCGACTTCCTGCGTATTATCGCCCTGCGACAGCCATAGCCGGCGAACAATTGTGGGTGCTTAATTATTGCTTTTGGTCTCTAAATGCGCTAAACACTAAAGGCAAAAGATCATTAAGCGCGCATAGCCGTTTAAAGGACAGAAAGCCGAGCAACTCGTGCTTCATCCTTACAAAGGATTTCGAGACTCATTGTCAATCGACGTCATATGCCAGTAAGTGTAACGAATCGCCGTGCACGTTACACTAGTAAGATTTGACCCAGCAAGTTCACGTATACAAACGCACCGGAAATTAAGTGCTCCGCCCAGGAGAGAACCGGAGAGGCACTAAAGTAACTACATTCTCAATCTGCTCTTTTGATTTATGAATTGGAACTACTCCAAAAATGCGTAGTCATAAAGCAGAAATGTACACAACCCGTCGTTGAAATTTGTACGCTTCACAAATTTTGTCCAATGGGATGTTTATCGTATACTGAGCGGGCCGCAAAAAAGATTTGGCTCGCCAGGAATCAATTTATCCCCTCGCCAACATGTCGATGGTCTTTGATGAGTATGGTCGCCCGTTCATCATCGTGCGCGACCAACAGCAAAAGGAGCGCATAAAAGGAGTGGACGCCATCAAGAGCAATATTTTAGCAGCGCGTTCTGTGTCGAGTTTGCTCCGCACGTCACTGGGCCCGCGTGGAATGGACAAGATGATGGTCAGTCAGGATGGCGACGTCACTATTTCTAATGATGGTGCTACGATACTTGAGCAAATGCAAGTCGAACACCGCGTAGCACATTTGCTTGTTGAGCTCAGTAAGTCACAGGACGACGAGATCGGCGATGGAACCACAGGTGTCGTCGTGCTTGCTGGCGCTCTTCTTGAGCAGGCTGAAAAGCTTTTATCACATGGATTACATCCAATGCGCATTGCTGACGGCTTTGAAGAAGCTTGTGAGATTGCTTGTAAGTATCTAGAGAATATTGGCGACGTGATTCAGTTTTCAAAAGAAGACTCAACTCCTCTTGTAGAGACAGCTATGACGACATTGTCGTCAAAGATTGTTAACAAGTACAAGCGTCAAATGGCGCAAATTGCAGTCGATGCTGTGATGAAAGTCGCTAATTTTGAAACACGTGATGTAAATTTTGACTTGATTAAGGTGGAAGGCAAGTCTGGAGGATCTTTAGGTGAGACAACGTTGATCAACGGCATTGTTATTGACAAGGATTTTTCTCATCCACAAATGCCCAAAGAAGTGAATGATGCAAAGATGTGCATTTTAACGTGTCCATTTGAGCCTCCAAAGCCTAAGACAAAACACAAACTTGATATTACTAGCGTTGAAGCGTACGAAAGGCTGTACAAACAGGAACAAGAGTATTTTACGACTATGATTAAGCAAGTGAAGGAAAGTGGCGCTAATTTAGTGATTTGCCAGTGGGGATTTGATGATGAAGCCAACCATCTGCTGTTACAAAACCAGCTACCGGCGGTTCGTTGGGTCGGAGGTGTTGAGCTGGAGCTTATTGCTATTGCAACGGGAGGTCGTATTGTACCGCGATTCTCGGAACTTACCTCGGATAAATTGGGTCGCGCTGGTACCGTGCGCGAGGTAGCTTTTGGTACTACTAAAGAGCGTATGCTCGTCATTGAAGACTGTGCAAGCTCAGACGCCATTACTGTGCTTGTGCGTGGTGGCAACAAGATGATTGTGGAGGAGGCTAAACGTTCGCTGCATGATGCTATGTGTGTGACTCGCAATTTGATTAAAAACAATCGTATTGTGTATGGCGGTGGTGCAGCTGAAATTGCATGTGGGATTGCTGTGCGTGAATACGCTGATAAGACCACGGGCATTGAGCAGTACGCAATCCGTGGATTTGCCGATGCTCTAGAAGACATTCCAATGGCTCTGGCTGAAAACAGTGGATTAAGCCCCATCGATTCGCTCTCGGCTGTCCGTGCGCAGCAGATTGCAGAAAAGAACCCACGACTTGGCATTGACTGCAACTCATCGGGGACGAACGACATGAAGGAGCAACACGTTTTTGAGACGCTGATTGGCAAGCAGCAACAGCTTCAGCTAGCGACGCAGGTTGTACGAATGATACTCAAGATCGATGATGTTATTCTTGAAGGCTCGTACGCTTGAGTTATTGGTAATAAAATTGAGCTTTCACATTAGTGCAACTGTGCGTGGTGGTATGAAATTTGAAGTCTTAGTTTGAAGCCTACATTGCGTTCAAAACTTTTATGTGTTGTAGTAGCTTGAAATTGCGGGCAATAACTTAATACTAATGCTTGATCTTCTTCTTGAGACGTTGCAAGATTAATTGGCGCTGCAAGACAAGATACTCCTTTGCCTCAGGTGACAAGCCAACTTCGCTCTGCGTCATGATGTCTAACTCTAGACGTCGCTCCATCACTTGTGCCATATCTTTAGACTTTTGTTCATCGACCATCCGATGAAAATCCTCTGCTGACGGCAGCGAGTGACAATTCTTGAACTCTCCTCTCTGTTTAATGTGCCTTTTTCGACTTTGGTCTCTATCGTCAGCGCTGCTTGACCGCGTTGTACACTGAGAAACTTCTATAGACGCTTGTTGCTTCTCTTGTTGCTCTTGTGTCTCGTCTTCTTCATGCATCGAGGCGAATTGGTGCATAAGCCGAGGCTTCAAGACCATCCACCATGTCGTTTGGTTGACTAGTAGCCATGCTACTGACACAAACTCAAAGTCCTTCTTTGTAGCAGCACGAAAAGTCTTGATTGCCCACTCGAACGCCTGACGCACATTATCACCTAAAGTCTCTAATTTTTTGTATCTTTGACTAAAAAGAGTGACGAATGCTACCATTGCGGGACGCATTGCTTTCCATTGCTTTTGTAGCATGTCTATAGTCCAGCATTGATTTGTTGGAGGTACATTTGTTGCATACGCAGATTCAACACGCTTCCAAAACACGCAATCGTCTTGTTCAGGTTGAGTATTTGACGCCACTGTGATCCATGCGCGCGCAAGATTCAACAAATCTACGCTCTCGGAACCTGATGGCATTATGCTGTACACCTTGTTCAGATGTCAATCTTTCCTTTTGAAAACTTGCTTTCCAGTCGCTTATAATGAAAATAAGTAAAAACAGACATTGCACTTGAACTTCAAGATATTAAATGCTTCCTTCACTTGGCAATGTCCAATCGACGCAAACAATAAAAAACTGTAACCAGATACATGAGGTACTAGAGTGACGGATTACGAATTTCAATAGAAGTGCTGGCTTCGAAGGGAACCCTTTCAAAGACAAGTCAAGGCCCGGAGTCCGTTAAAAAGTGTTTCGCTTAAGGTGTAGCAGCCAAAATGCATGTGTAATCATTTCTAATCTTATCAAAGAAAGCTCGTTTTTTTGACAGTTTTTTCTGGCCCGAACATAAAACCTCGTATTTTTGGTATAATACTCATGGGGACAGTAGGTTATTAAATATCAATAGTGACATTACAGTACATCCCATTCTGGGTATTATATCTCATGGTACTATGTTTCATAGTACGCACACGTTACACTACTTTCCCCATTGTCCAGCGGACACACAGCCGAGCTCAGTATAATATAAATAAAGCACCATGATAGAATGTGATGTTAGGTACTGGTACGAATGAGGGCGACTTCGGAAAGGAAAGTTCGTGGAATATGTGGTCTGCTAGCCTTTAAGCAATAGGTAATAAAAATGGTATATTTAGCATTAATCTAAGCTAGACTGTATTTAAAGTATATGCCTCTTTTGAACTGGCGTGAAGTCAGGTACCTAGTTATGGGAGCGCTTCTTGGATCGGACCCTGGGTCTGACATACGAACCAAATCTCTGTGATGAACGTAGACTCGCTGAGTGAAGGCTTTCTCTGTGTAAAGTGCACGGCAACTCTTACACTTGATATCATTTGTAGACAAATCGACGACCGAGTCACAAAAGAACTGCATCTCTGTGGTAGTAAGACACATGATGTCTGATAACCTATTCCTGGGACAACTTAGGATGCTTTGAAAGGTTAAGTCGAATGCTGGGTTGGGGATCTGGCGACCAAAAGGCCAAATGCGACTATCACTTGCCTGAAAGCGTGTACCATTTAAAAAAGTCGGTGAGACACCTCCAGAAGCGCCTCAACTCAGCACTGTTAAAAAAGGACGTTACCTACCGCCTCTGAGAGTTACAGAGGATGAGGCTTTCATGCAAGGTCATACAAACCTCTAGGGGAAATGTCAAGTAACAAGAAGATCGGGCATCCCGCTTGGGGTCTATTGTACCGCGTGAGGGTCTAAGTCAATGGGACCAGATCCATTTTTTTAGGAATGATGGGGCTACATTCCAGGGTCGTTGATATATATCATCAACGTATCAAAATCTCTGAAGTTGTATAACGTACTGATAGAGTGAACAGCGTTACGTGGTGATATGCGATGCTTGGCTGTCGACACTAGTATAAAATCCGCAGAGGCATTGAAGAGATTAGATACTTATTCTCCGGGGGTCATGCGATGGGACAGTGATAATAGTGCCTTGAGTTATTTTGGGCCTCTATAGGAAGTACACGGGCTTTAACAATATACAACGTTGTCTAGTCCTAGAATTAGATATGAGATACGATTTCAACCTAGCTATGGCGCGCCTGGAGCGTCACAAGCCAGGAATCTACTAGAAATCGAAAAATAGATACCATGCGCTTCACTCCTGATGAATTATTGACGAGTTATGGGACCAAAGCGATTTTGGCTCAGACACGAGGCTGCGAACGCTTTCGTTTAAGGCTTGAGATTGTCCGAATTTGTTCGCAATGGTACCTCTAGCTGATGTCAGACGGGAGAAGCGAGAGAAAGCCAAGGTCTCAGGCTGTGACGATAAAGTGCAATTGTTCTCCGGCGGGTTTCTCTGTTGAGATGGGATAATTTGACTGCATGTCGTTGTTCTCAGGGTGTATCTCTGACAGGACGGAAACGAATAGCTGTCAGCTTTCGGCAACTGTGCTAGGGCTGGAGGAGAGTGGAAGCAACCAAACTTTGCTATCTTCCATGTCAGGCCTGGTGAAGTTGAAGGATGATATAAGTCGCGAGTGAAACGGTCAGGTCCAGAATATGGACGATAACCATTCTTTTCCACGATGTGATGGTACTACTGCCGTCGGATGGGCCGTACGTGCAACGCAGTGAAGCTCAACAGGTAAGCGGGGAGGATTATTAAATCGTGAGTGGAGTGACCGGGTTGGTTCTCGTCTATAGTCTCACTACGTCCGGCAGACGCATTCCAAGCTAGTTCTTTTTATCTAGGTGAAGAATGCAAATGGTTGCGAGACCGTGCATTCGTCAAATTGGCATGATTGGTGCAAGAGGATGGATGAGATCAAAAATTCGACTTGGGTGAGTATGATGCTCAGACTACTCCGGAGAACGGAGTGCGAAGAGTGAGGCAATTAATTTTCAACGAATTTTATTAGTCTTGGTCGAAGGGATACCACGATCTGGCGACAAGATACCAAACACGCGTATTACTCCTGAATAGGGGAGTGCGTCACACGGCAAGGGTCTTAACCGAGAAGCACTACGATGTCATCGACGTTTATATCTGTGCCAATCATGAAGCTAATTTGTTGAAGATTAATTTTAATACACGACTCTCAATGTCCGAAAAAATGGCGGCAAGCGGCGCGAACTACTTGCTAATAATAAGCTACACGCGTTGCGACTTTGGCGAAAACCCCAATTCCTGATAGTTGAGCTGCAAAACAGCATGGAAACCTACACTTTGTTCAGTGCACTCAACACATTGAATGGAAAAAATTTACTGCTGATAAGATATGGCATATCCTTTTTGTGCGGTGAGCAATCCGAGCGAAATGTTCTAGAGTTGCTTTTCATACTAAAGAGACTGCATAAAGCATCAGCGATGTTAAATTGTTTGGTGGCGCAGCTGATCAGACCACATCATGGCTATGCACAACCCTATTTTGGGTATATATTTGTATATTGTCGTGCAGTGTACGGGACGTCGGACGTAACCAATAATATCGAGCACTTATGAGCGGTCCTCGAGTGTATACATTTAAAAATATTATTTGTCAACATCAAAGAGTAGGAATAAGGTGCTCATAAATTTTTTCTCATCCGAAAGTGTAGCTTTTGACAAATTATTCAAAGTTAAGTCCGTTGTAGATTATCCAAAACATCGGTCTTTAAGGAATTTCAGGAAGTAACTTGATCTGATCCGATACTTGGCGAGGATTGTGCAAATTACATCAGCATGAATGGCCCCACGCAGACTTTCTTAATTGATGTCAAATGGTGGAGGGGAGGCAAAAGAGATGGCATTCGGTAAAGCCGTATACAAACCCGATCTTGGCCCTTTCGGTTCCGGATCGACCATTTTCGTCGTATGAAATGCTTTTGCCATGAGCTGTGATATCCCAACGAAATCATCGTGGGCATAAATATGTGATGGTGCGATCGGGTCTGGGTCTCGCAAGCTAAAAGCGGCAGAAAAGAAATATATTTGAGTACTATAGTACTTGCTGAAAACTAGGCTATTGCCAAGGTCAAAGCTGGTTAAGCATTTGCGCTCTACTTAAATTATGCGGCGTTTCATACTAGAACGCTATCAGCACATTTCATCAGAGACTGACATGGTTTTTTCGCTTATCATACCGTGAGAGGACGATATAATCCGAGTTGGCCCAAAAGGTGTGGATTTGCTTTCGCCTTGCTCAGATGTGTCACATGCCACGATGCTGGCGTCGCCAGTTGATGAGTCAATATGTATAGATGAAAAATCAGATGCAGCACGTCTTGCGCAAATTAATACTTTGGAAAGCAAGAGGCTAGACTTAGATGACACTTGAACAAGTCGATCGACTACTTGCGTTAGTCGATCGATTTGTTAAAGAAAGAGAAGCGACATCCTGCCTTTTAAACGCTGTGGACATATATATATATATATGAAGAAGAGACATGTTTTTTATGCACTTACGTGCAAAACATGTCAACAAATTAAAAACCTGCAGCGGGGCTGCGGAAGATCTTTGCTTAGAGGAAACTAAGCTAAGGTGACCGACCTTACGTTCCTTGCAAGAACAAGTACGAGTGTAGCGGACCGCAATCCGGTACTTCCAAAGTACTTAAAAACCTTAACCAAGGTGTAAACGCTCTTCTGTTCAAAGTTGAAAGTGTATTTTTTGTGGCAGAGCCGCCAACATCTAAAATACTAGGCTTTCCTAATAATATAGTAATACCTAATTAATGTAGTAAAATCTTCTTGATATGCATTACTACTGGCAGTCCTACCACGTAGTGGCTTCTTGTAACGGTGTTGCCACACCATTGTGTGATTACACCTTCTTGCGTGATCCACACCTATGTACCATCTTGTGTGGCCTGCCCTCTCATACAAGAGTACGTGTAACCCCGTTACATTCTCCGCCATCAAAATTGTGAAACCCCCACATTTCAAATTTAATTGTCGCCTCATACGCAGCTCGTGTATCTGAGACACTCTTACGTTCTTAAGCTCATCACTTGAACATTCTCCGCTCAATGAACCTTGTGTCAATGACACAAAAAACAGCCTAGCTGGCTCCGAGGGCGCCCATGAGAAAATCCTTATTCTTCTGCACGAAGTGCATACCCGGACAATACGTCCGCAGTTTCACGGGAAACACACCCCAAGCCCTCGGCAACCAAGCGCCATACACCGCGTCCGCCCCGGGCGACGGATTTTTTCGTCGAGGAGCTGGAGGAAGTCGACTACAAGTCGGATAATTCTTTCCCAGCATGTGAAGACGAGGAGGATGAGGTGCGCCAATGGCGCGATGTGAGTCCAGCTCGAACCTTGCGGACACCGTGTCCGTTCCCCGATCTCTCGACTTTCAAGGGAAATTGTATTGTTACCAATCGCCTCGATGAGACAAAAGAGCCGCAGTTGGAGGCTGCCCACAGGGCGGCTCTCATGCGCTCGTATCTACGTTCGATCCTAGACCCTCGTGTAGAATACGGCTTCCGCTTGGTGGATCCCGCTAATGAAGCGAAAGACGCGGCCACTCGATCGTTGGACGTCTACGTAGTCGGACCTCCGGTCACGACACAAGCTGAGCTTGACCAGAGGAAAGCTCTCCGAGATCGTTTTTTTGTGCCACAAGAAATCCCAATGGATCGTTACCGCGCTCGACTTCGAGCTTAAAGAGGAGGCGCTCCTGTACTCGCAATGCGGACTATTCTTGTGGTACTCGCCCCTGGCAAAATTGCTGCAGATGATGAGGAGCTTGAGCGATGGGTGCAGCGGCACCGAAACCTTTCCTCGCTGTCTCACATACAGCGGATCCACAAGGAAGTGGTTGTGCTCGTAGAGCGCCATCTTCAATTTGAGTTTGCCAAACTCAAGTCGCAAAGCCGACTTCCTGCGTATTGTCGCCCTGCGACAGTTTCTCACCGGGCGAGTCTACGACTACAGCAGCTCGGGGCCATAGCTTGAGCTCAGCTTACGGCCCTCCGGCTTCCCGGGCTACTGCCGAGAAAGACGAGGCGACGCAAAGCGTCATGATCCTTCTAAGCGTCCACGACGTCTGGGCAGTCTTGTCGGAGTGGCACCTCAAAATCCCACGAGCTCTCGGAGTTTGGTATCCCCGCCACTTCACAAGATTTTGGGTTAAACCCCGTCGATGACGTCGTCATCGTGG